ACAAGCAATAGAGAAAATCTACAAGCTAAAAGTTGATGTTTTGAAAATATATGTAAAATTTGTAAGCCTTTTCAAGATGATCAACCTATTATAGAAAGAGAAAAAAATTAACAGTATCAGGAATGAAAAAGAATCTATGTCACCAGAGAGTCTAACAATATTTTTTAAAGTAATTAAGGGGTATTATGAACAATCTCTCAGAAGTACATTTGACAACCTAAATGATATGAAGTCCTTGGAATTGACAATATACCAAAATTGTTACCCAAAAAATTAGGAAGTCTGAATAGCCTTATACCTGTTGAGGGAATTTAATTTCTAATTAAGAAATTTCCTACAAATAAAACTAGACTTGTGAATTTTACCCAACATCTAAAGAAGAAATAATATCAATCTTACACAGATTCTTTCAGAGGCTAGAGTAGGGTTTCTCAGCCTTGGCACTATCGACATTTCAAATCACACAATAATATTTTGTTGGGGAGTTCTGTGTATTGCAGGTTGTTTAACAGCATCCCTGTCTTCACCCATTAGGTGCCAGTAGCATCCCACCCCCACTTTGTGACAATCAAAAACCTCTGCAGACATTGTTAAATATCCTCTATATAACAAAATGTCCTCTAGAGAACTATTGGACTAGAGGAACAAAGAACTTACCCAACTCCTTTTGTGAGACCTAAACCAGGTAAAAGAAGTAGAAGAAAAGAAAATGGCAAAGTGATCTCCCTCATGAACATAAATGCAAAACAAAAAAGTTTCTTAACAAAATATTAGCAAATTAAGTCCAGAATATATGAAAAGGATAATCCAGTTTAATCAAGTACAATTTATAACAGGAAAGCAAAATTGTTTTAACATTTGAAAATCAATGTGATCTGCCATATTAACATAATAAAAGAAATCCAGTGTCTCAAGTAGATGCAGAAAAAGCATTTAACATAGCTCTTCCATTGCTCATACATTATAAGGAGAAAAAAATGGCCTGTCATTAAACTAGAAAGCTGATAGAGGATATGGACAAAGATCATCTATTTAGTGATGAACACTTTTAGGAATAAGAAAGAATGTCCATACTTAGTACTTATATTTACATTGTACTGGAGGTCCTAGCTAGTGTGATCAGGTATAAAAAAATATTAGAAAGAAAAAAGTAAAACTGTCTTTATTCTCAAATAGCATGACTGTACACGTGGAAATATCCTAAAGAACCTACAGAAACAATTACTAGAATTATTAAGTGGATTTAACATACTCACAGGATTCGAGTTAAAGTTCAACATACAAAAATCAATTTTATTTCTATATAATGCAATTAGCTGTCATATAGCAATAGATAGAAAATAACAATTAGAATAGAAAATTTACAGCAACATAAGAAGTCATCAAATACCTGGGAATAACTTAACAAGAAATGTACAAAATCTCTACATTGATCACTATAAAATACTGCTGAGATAAATTCAAGAAAACTTAATAAAAGGACAGAAAGATATACCATGTTCCTAAATAGGAAAACTCAATATTGTGAAGATACAAATTTTTGCCGAATTGAAGATTAGATTCAATGCAATTATAGTCAAAATACCAGCTACTATTATAGAAATTGGCAAACATTCTAAAATTTATATGAAAATATGAAGGGTTTAGAATAGCAAAAACAGTCTTTGCTATTTTAGAAGAGTGAATTGAAAAACTTGTGAACCTAAGTTTTGGTATGTTAACTAAAGTTGTATAATCAAGACAGGTTGTTATTCACATTAACATAGATAAATAGGTCAGTGGAACAGAATAGAGTCCAGAAATAGACCCAAACAGTCATATGTTCAATTGCTTTTTGACAAAGGTATCAAGCAAGTCTATGGAAAAAGTATCAAGCAAGTCTTCCAAAAAAATAATACTGGATATACTAGATATAGACATGGGGAAAAAATGAACCTTGAGTCCTACTTCTCATCATACCCCAAAACTAATGGAGCCTGATCCACAGAAGAGGGTAGCTTGGCACAGAATATCGGAGCTTGTGTGGGGTGGGGAGGACTTTCCTCCTGGGGACCTTATTGGTGTTGGAGCTTGAACCTTGACCAGTAAACTGCACCCTCCCAATAAAATCCTAACCCAGGATCAAGCTCTCAGGCTGCTTTCTCTAGTTTTACATCTATAACACCTGAGTCTTGACACAAATTCATGATTTCTAATCATTAGACCTTAAACTTTGCAGGATAGTTTTTTCCTTGTTCTTGGTCATTTTTATCTTGAATTCCCTCAATACGAATTCCAGATCTTCACTTCTCTCCTCAATACCCATTTCTTTCACTCACAAGAATGAATTTACCTCCTGCTTCACTGAGAACACTGAAAGTGAAGTATGTACTTCCTCAACTCTGTCCCAACCCCACCACTGTTAAGTCAGCCAGCCAAGTACCAAAACACTATAGAATTATTGATCCAAATGCTTTCTTGAAATATCTTCCCAAATGTTTTATGAGTAACTCAGCCTACATTTAATTTCTCCCACATTCCCAATCTTTCCTCTCTGTATTGCCTATGCCCCCGTAATTCTGCCAGTCATTCTCACTACCTTTTCCCTTCATTTTTCACATTCAAATACTCGTCAACTCCTACTGATTTTAAATCCTAAATATGGTTTTTAAACCATCTCTCTTCATTTCATATGACTGCTTCTCCATCCCAACCCTCTATCATAGTGTTTTTTTAATTGATTCTTCTATTGAATATTTGCCTTCAGTTTTCCCGTTACAAATAATCCTGCAATGACTGTCCTTGAACAAATATCCTCATGTTGTTGTTAATGTAATTCCATATGATAACTTCTTAAAAGCTGAATTATTAAGAGGTAGGTGCATAAAATGCTCTATCAGTTTGCAGTTCCTCCTGTAATGCATTACAGCGCTCTTGTCCCTGCACCCTCACTGACACTGAGTATTATACTCCTCCCTTAAGGGAGGAGTTTCTGGTTTTAGGTTTAGGTCTTGATTTTTAATGGAAAGTCTGATCGTGTTTGTAATCCTAGGAAAGAATCCAGTTGAGAGGAGGAGTTTGTAAATTATAAGAAAAGGAGATAACTGACAGGCTCTAGTCACAGAGGGTGTAGGTCAGTGATATCAAGAATATGAATAAAAGGTGTGATTTTCTTCTGAGACACTAACAGAGGGATAGTAGATAGGTAAAGATGGAAATAAATGCAAAGGAAATAAGAAAAATTTTGTAGTCATCTTTATTTTAAAGAAATTAGAAGCCAAGTCCCCTGTTGAGATAGAGGATCTGGTTTATTTGAGAGAGAGTGCAGGAGCACAAGCACTCTCTCTTTCAAATACATAAAATCTTTAAAAAAAGAAAAAGAACAAGCAGAGATGGGGGCACCTGGGTGGCTCAGTCAATTAAGTGTCTGACTCTTGATTTGTACTCAGGTTGTGATCTCAGGGTTGTGGGATCGATAGAGCCCCCCTGCAGGATCCACGCTTGGTGGGGAGTCTCCTTGGGATTCTTTCTTTCCCTAACCATTTCTCCCTCCTTCTGCCCCTCCCCAGCACCCCCCCAACTCATGCATGCTGTCTCGAAAGAAAGAGAGAAAGTAGGAAAGAAGGAAAGAAAGAGAGAGAGAGGAAGGAAGAAAAGAAAAGAGAAAAGAAAAAAAAAGGCAGAGATGTAGTCCTTGGATTTGCCTACATCTAGAGCTTCTAGGTTAAAGTAAAATTATCTTACATTCACAGTGAGGTAGTTTTATTCTCTTCCTTTTCCTTTCCCATGAATAGAAGTTATATGAGCTAAGATATACATCCACTGGTTAGTCCACATGGGAAAATGATCCCTGAGTTCTGTTATTAAAAAAAAATTTTTTTTAAGAGTATAAATTTAATATACTGCAATATACAAACAATAGTAGTTATTGTTTCTTTATATCACTCCAAACATAAAGCCACTTAATGTCTTGATTTTTATTAGTAAATTATGATATGAGCAAACATTATTAAAAATTCTGATCAACATAAACTAGAAGCCCAATGACTTAGATGGGTTTACATGATTTGAATCCTGGTCAAGAGCCCTGAGATTAGCAATGGATCCAGTAATACTCTGTCAACTTATTCAACTTATATACTTATATTCAACTTCTGGAGTTCAAATACCTTAATATTTAGACTCTACCTTTTGATTAAATGTCTTCTCTCTCTTTTTTTTTTTTTTTTTTCACTTTAACTCTTACATTGTTTTTGGGCATGGGGAAGACAAAACCAAAGTTTCATGAGTCTGTGGTGAATTTAAGTGTAAAGGAAGAGGCTGGTAGAATAGTAAGGAATATACATCATTGGGACACTTCTCCCTAAAAAATAAAATGTTACAAGAGGAAATGTGTTAATGGTGGGAACACAGTTTATTAGAGAGAAAAACATAGGCACGTGTGTTTATTTTCAATAAAATTCCTTTTACTCCATACTTGCTTTGTTGACTTTGTAATGAACTTATGTTAGGACAGAGACCAGCTATTCCACATGCACCATTGTACTGCTCTGCACATACCCTGGGCACATAATAAATACTGTAACAATTGAAAATGAGAAACACAAATGCATTTTGAAGCAAATTGGTGATATTTTAATCCCTACTGTTCAATTTTAGTACTTGGAAACATTTTAGTTATGCAAGTCTTGTTTTAGAGTACTTTTTATTTCTACAGATATTCTGGTTCTTAGTCATACTCTATGGCTTTATTAGCAGTTTCATGGGTCTGAGTCTCATTTCCCCAACTCCAAATATAAGTTTTTTGAGGATAAAGACCATTTCTTCTCTAAAATTATTGTGGCAAGATACAAAATAGACCTTCGGTAAATTATTCAAATTATACTTAAATAAAAAATAAGAAAAAGAAGTTCTTGCTGCCGTCAATTGCATTTCAACTCATGCTGAATTTATATGCCTTTATATGATCATGTACCCCCCGTCTGTGCTCTCTACAGCTCATTCATGTTTATTCTTTTCAGTTTATTGAAGTCAAAATGTGATGGGTGGCTGCTGGGAGCATCATCGTCCATCAAAAAACACCAAGAGTCCACTAACAGCAGTGAGAATAGAAGAGAGAAGAAGACAGTTGGGTTTCAATCACATACAGAAGATGATACCCTATGGACATATCAAAAGAGAGATACATATCGACCCCAAAGAGGTAAGTTTAGCATTTATACGTAGCAAAAGAAGAAGCTGTTCTGGGGCCAGTTCTTGCTGGTGGGTGCTAGCCATGAACTCCAGATGATTTTTATCACCCCGAACAAGAGTTAAGTCTGTTACCAATTGATGTGTGTCTGCAAGGCCACAGGTGGCACATCTGCTACATCACTGAATCACATCAGCCTTTCTCTTAGAATACTCTTATAAGCAACTGTCCGATTTGTCCCTCTTTGCAAGCAGCAAACTGTAAGGCTGATTTAACAGTAAGTATGGTTATAGGCATAAAATAATGTTCAAAGTGAGTAAAGAGGACCGGAAATTAAATGTAAATTTCTGCTGGGAGCGTAAATTCTAACAACTATAGTTAATCCTCAATTAACTAGAAATATAGAAAGGGTGAAGGAGAGGTCATAGACAATTCTACATTGTAGCTGAAACAACACTTCATAAGTCTGAAACATGTATTGCCTAGCAGTCTTTTAAATGCCACTAATTCTTCCTACTTTAGATGTCGCAGATTTTTTTTTTTAGATTTTATTTTTAAGTAAACTCTATACCCAACATGGGGCTTGAACTCACCACCTCAAGATCGAGTCACACACTCCACCAGCTGAGCCAGCTAGGCACCCAAATGTCATAGATATTTTAAAAGAAATCAATTATAAAATAACTGAAATGTTGAGCGAAGTGGTCAAAATTTAATTGTGTTTCCTCATTGTTTCTGGAATGGCTTATGGCTTCACCTCTCCTGAAATTATCAAGAGAAGGACTTCCCAGCAGAAGCAGCCAGTCCAAGCTTCCTTGTGCAGAGATGTGCAGGCAAGAGAGGGCCACAAGAAGTCTGGGAACCCCCTCTGCTCACACCTTTTCCCCAAATAGCTCTCTTACCTGCTCACAACCATTAACCCCGGCTTCCTTCTTTTTTTTTTTTTAATTTATATTTTAGGTAATTAATGCGCAGTGCAGTACGATTCATCAGTTCCATACAACATCTGACGCTCATCACAAGTGCCCTCCTTTCATGCCCATCAACCATCCAGCCGATCCCTCTGCCTATCTCCCTCCATCAACCCCATTTGTACTCTCTCCTTAGGAGTCACTTATAGCTTGTTTACTCTCTTCTTTACCCCCCATATGTTTGTCTGTTTTCTTTCTTAAATTCCACACATGAGTGAGATCATGTGGTATTTGTCTTACTCTGACTGACTTACTTCACTTTGCATAACATCCTCTAGTTCCATCCACATATCTACCTCTTTTTTTTTTTACTGGACTGGCACCTGCCCCACTCTGGTACTAAGCAACCAACTTTCCATAATCTCCCTGGCCACTCTTACATTCATTTGTTTGAAAAATGGGCAGCAGTTCAATAGAAGACCTTGTATCCCCCGCCGCCTGTGTCATGATTTTTAGTTTTAACTATGATTAATCTAGAAGTTGTTTAATCTTTTTCCAAATAACTGAGAGATGATAATTAGTCCCAGATTCAGAAAAGGAACTATCCACATCTTGAAAAGCAGGTACATTTTTTTTGACATAAGGCAAAAGTTCTGCAGACCTCCATTGCCTTAGAACAACTTAGAACAACTTTTGTCTTTGTAGACTCTGCTACCAGAAACAAAAATGAGATTGAGGAGACTTCATCTCTGAGATAGAATCTTCTTTATTTTCTCTGTGAGTCCTTGAGAGATGGGAAACTTGTATTCTCTTCTTAGTCACTGCACTTTGGAGAATAGAGAACCAATCAAAACTGGTGTGTGTGGTGGTTACCCTGCAAGTCTTAACATAGTTTTCTGTTAACTTGTCAAAAAATTTGTGTTGTGTGCCAGCACGAAAATAAAATGGCAAAATGAGAAAAATGGAGTGTAATAGCAAAGGGACAAATGACTTGTGTTATTGGTTAAGACCACAGCTGCATTAGAAGGCTGCAGTTGAAAAGGCACTTTGAGAAAGGTACCATCAGGCCAGCCCTTACAGTGGTGGAGGTTAATCTCTCCCGGGCCCAGCTACGGAAGCTATAAGCCTGGAAAGGGCTTGTGTCCAAAAAAAATCAATTTCTAATTTGAAACAAAATCATTTTTGACTAACAGGGGTTCAGAACCCATTACTTTTTGCTGTATAGTCTGCTGACATTTCAGCACTTTCTGTTGTGCACAATGAATCCTAATAGTCATTTTATAATGTTGCTATACCAATCAATTTAACCAAGACAAAGCTGTTACAATTCTGCAAAGTTTTCAGGAACAGTTTTCACTCACGGTTTTATTTTTTTCGTTAGCTTTTTTCCTTTGTGTGTGTGTTGGTGGGGGGTGAGGTTGTTTTGTTGCAGTGGAAAAAAAAAAAAACTTTCTCATTTTTTTAAGAGAGTTTTGTTTTAAGGTGTTCACAGGAATTAACTTTTTTTTTCTACTTATAAGATTATCATGTAAGGAGTGTCTGGATGGTTCAGTCAGTTAAGTGTCCAACTCTCCAAGTCAGCTTGGGTCATGATCTCAGGGTCATGAGATCAAGCCCCGAGTCAAGCCCTGCACTGAGCATGGAGCCTGCTTAAGATTTTCTCTCTGCTTCTCCCTCTCTCCTGTGACCCTCCCTGTCCCATTCATGCACATGCAGTCCATCTCTCTCTTTAAAAAAAAAAAAAAGAGGATCGTCATGTATTTTTCTCTTCTTTTATTCTGATATGGAGCCATTGCCAAATTACAGTATAGCTGATCATTGGGGAGCTGCAGCTGCCCGTCTGAGTCCTTCTGCTCATGGCAGTGCTGGTATGCGCAGATCACACAACAGAGCAGTTAAAACAGCAGCCTTTCCAGTGGCACACAGCCAGATGGGAGACGGCTTTACAAGTGTGCTGCAAGGGGTTTGGACACCCTGTGTAACGTTAAGACCGGTAACCTAGCACTAATTGCCTCAGTCACACTGCTTGGTTTAGTGGCTCCTTAATTGCTTTCCCTTCTTTAGTGTGTCTAATTTTTTTAACCTACTTTTCTTCTTCGTTTCTTTTGTTGTCTTTAATCATTAAGTACCACGTAGGATGTTTACTGTAGGACCATTAATCTTTATTATCCATCCCTTATTCCTCTACCTTTTCTGTCCTCCTCACCATTCTGTCAACTTTATTGATACTAAATATATAAAGAAAGACCTGACTCTTAAGAAAAGACCTTTGCGGGGGCGGGGTGGGGAGTGGAAGGGAAGAATAGGGTGGCTGGGTGATGGACATTGGGGAGCGTATGTGCTATGGTGAGTGCTGTGAATTGTGTGAGACTGATGACTCACAGACCCATACCCCTGAAGCAGATAATACATTATGTGTTAATTTAAAAAAGAAAGAAAGAAAGAAAGAAACAACCTTGAGATCACAACGTGTACAGTTTTGTCAGAATCATGCTTAAAATATAATTTGTTTTTCAATCATCAATGCGTGGTATATTCTATTTTAATTGCCTTTATTGAGCTATGTGGAACCAGGAGAAATTACTTAGGAAAATCTAAACTTGAGTCAAGAACTTTTAAGCCAAAGGCACAAATCTGGAAACAACACTGTTCATTCCTTTTTTCCTCCCTACTCAGCGGTGATTGTTTTTTTGTTTTTATTTCCCTCTCCCAGCTTGCCCAACCACCCTTTTCTTATCAATCACCGATTCCCTTTCGTAAGAGCCCTCCAAGCTGAGGGCTTTTTTTTTCTCTGTGATGCTGACAGGCTAGCAGAGGCCGTGAGGACACTGAGCAGACATGTTCCAGAATCAAAATGTTAGACCTCAGGACTTGGCATTGTCCATTTCTAAGCGAGGCTGCAAAGCCATCCCAAAGCCCCCTGCTACAGTTAGAGCTATGCCTGTTTGCTCCTTCTCCATGGATCTCTGAGTCTTTTTAAAACTTCAAGAGAGGCTAAACCTAAAGTAATTTGGATTTAACTGATGGCATTGACCATGCCCCCCATTTTGACTTTGGGCTTTTTTCGGCTATATAATATACAGCAGCTATCACTGGTTGACAGCCCCTGAGGGGCTCCGAAACACATTTTTCTTTTACTAGAAGAGGATTATTATAGACTCATCTGAAATGAGAAATAATCTTGAAACTCCTAGTTGTTCCTCTAAATAAGCCTGTGCTTGCAATGATACAAAATGTTCTTTGTAGTCCATGATGGATTAATATAGGTGATGATGTTAAAGAAATAAAACAAGTTGGAGTATCCAAAGTTTAGAAGGCAGTTCCACTTTGCCTCTAAAGAACCTTTATTTGTTTCTTTTATTATTAATATCATAATCATTGTTGTATGTTTAATCATTAGAAAAGGTATCACAAGATATTACTTCTGATTCTGAGAACTCTGAGCTAAAAGATTTATTAAAAGTTGATGCCTTTATCAACAGAACACAGAAGAAAGGAATAGTATAGTGCTATGCATAAAGCCAGATATGTAGATGAAATTGTCCTGCTCAGTCCCCCCCCCTTTTTTTTAAGATTTTATTTATTTATTTGACAGAGAGAGATCACAAGTAGGCAGAGAGGCAGGCAGAGAGAGAGGGGGAAGCAGGCTCCCCGCCAAGCAGAGAGCCTGATGCGGGTCTCGATCCCAGGACCTCGGGACCATGACCTGAGCTGAAGGCAGAGGATCAACCTATTGAGCCACCCAGACACCCCTGCTCAGTCCCTTTTAAAAAGGAATTCAAGGAACGCCTGTGTGGTTCAGCCAGTTAAGCCACTGCCTTCAGCTCAGGTCATGAGCCCAGGGTGCTGGGATCGAGTCCCACGTTGGGCTCCTTATTCAGCAGGGGGCCTGCTTCTCTCTCTGACAAATAAATAAATAAATAAAATCCTAAAAAAAAAAAAAAAAAAAAAGGAATTCAGATGCAAGAGACCAGCATTAAGAGTTGAAGTTGCTGTATATGAAATATTTTCCCTTAAACCAGAACCTCTACATTTCCCATTCTCTATAATAGAAGTATCTCAAAATACTTTATAATTTACTGATTTTTTATATTTTGTATC